GGCCGCTGCCGTCTCTGCTCCTCTGCCGCGCCCAGGCCGCTTGCCCGCAGCCATGAACACGCTCGGCCCCAGTGGAGCCCGACGTCCTCTAGATTAGTACCCTTCGCCGCTCGGACTCACCTGCAGCATGGAATCTCCTTCCTCGAGCCAGCCCGCCGGAATGCCACAGTCCAAAGGTAGGCGCGCCCGACCGGGACCTCGGCCTGACCCCGTACCCTGAGAACTACGACCTCTGTGTAGTCCCACCCCATCCTGTCCCGGATCCTGTGCGGGTCCCGGGTCCGGTGCCAGCTTGTGGCCTCACCTGGACCCCCAGGTTAGGCCTTAGGACTGCACCCAGGCCCGAGATCGCCCAGGCTGTACCCAGGCTTAGGACTTGGTTCTGCTCACCTTCTCCAGGTTAGGAACCTCACTCTGACTTCATTTAGGCCTTAGGGCAGCTGTCTGAGTAGGAACTCCTCAGCTGGACTCAGACGGAATTCACTCTGATCCTCACCTGGGTCCTTGGGCTGGCTGCACCCAGCCCCGCTTCCAGTCCCAGGCCCTAAGGGCCATATCCAGGCTGAGAATTAACTTTGACTTTGCATCTGGGCCCCAGAGGTGCGCCAGTTGTTGGAGAGCTCACTGTACTCCCCCATGCGGTGGCCCTGGCTACACCCCAGTTCAGAACTCCCCGTATTCCTCTTCTTCAGCTCTCCCCACCCTTGTAGGCAGGCACTACATTGCCCCTTCCCTGCTGGCCTGCACCCCATCCTGCAGCCCTGTACTCCCCACCCCGGGAACCTCTCTTGGCCTCTGACTTCTCCCTAATGCACAGCTCCATCTCTACTGGCTCTTGCTTGTCTTGAGCTATAAGCTCCTTTCTGCACTTGGGAAGTTCACCCCATCTTGTACCTCAGTGTCTCCATGGCTGGTTCGCCTGTTCCTGCTGCCTGGAACCTGGGTCAGCTGCCAGGCCAGGATGCTGGCTGTGCAAAGGACTTGCTCTTGTCTTCTCCAAGTAACAGGCCTTCCTGGAAATTTTTGTGAGGTGGCTGTGGTGGCAGAGGGATTTGTCATGCAGAAGGGGGGAGGACGAGACTTGGAGTGCAAAAGGGGGATTTTTTTTCTTTCAGGAAGAGGCAAGGATGTTTTTGCTGTGTCGGAGTCTCAGTAGGCTGGACTATATGAGAAATTTCCAACCCAGACGTAGCAGTAGTGAATGGGCTGATGTCTCTGGGCCTCAGTTTTCTTCTCTGTAAAATGGGAGCAATCACACCTACTTCTGTGGACACAAGGAGTGTGATATGAGACAGTGAATACTAAAGAGCAAGTAAAGAGCAGTGGGTGAGGTGGTGCAGCCCAACGTGATGCTTGGCACAGAGTAGGTGCTCAAGAGGGGACACTTGCTGCACATCTTGTTATTGTTTGCACTTTTCTTGCTGGAAAGGCCGTGGGGTCAGGGCCTTGCCTCTGTTGGGACTGCAGCTGCAGAGTGAGCAAGAGGAAGGTACCATCGGGCACCTGGTGGGTCCCTAATCAGGCGTCTGCCCCTCTCCTTCCTTGGAGGCCTGGAGAGGGCACAGGTCCTTCCTGGCCTCTGCTGCTATGGCTGCGGTGGCTGGTGACCGTGGGCTGGAGCTGGGTGGGCAGGGTAATTATGTCTTACATAAGTGGGAGGCCGGATCCCTGACCATTGCCCAACCACTGTGAGTAACTCAGGAGGCACTCGCCGGGGGAGGTGGCTGGGGAGGGACTCGCGCTGCACAGACCTCGTGGAGCTTGGGAACCGGGAAATCAGACACTTCTCCACTCTAGAGAGCTTGGGGAAGAGGTTGGAAGCAGTGTTTGTTTTTAGAAGTATTTTGGCTCTCCAGGCAGGGAATGCCTCATCAAAATAAAAGTACCTGTTGCAGAGTTATGAAGGGAGAGAGGGTTGTGGATATGACGGGAAAGCACAGTGGAGGGACACTGCCTGACTGCTACGTGCTGTGTGACTTGAGGCCTGGCATTGCCCTTTCTGGGCCTCTGCCCTCTCTAAACCCAGGTCCTAGATACTGTTGGGTGGGCTGGATGGAGACTCAGGGGCCTCCCCAAGGCCCAGGGGCCCTGTAGTCTCTTCTAGGAGAGGGGAACGATGTCATGGGGGAGCCATATTTCCTGTCACCAAAAATCCTATGAGCTCCTGCTTTTTGAGCTTTTGTCCATGTGCCATCCATTCTCTTGTATTCCTCACGTTTAATGTTGTAACTCCATTTACAGATAAGGAAACTGAGGCTCAGAGGCATTGAGTGCCTTGCCTGAGGCTGCACAGCTGTAACAGAAGAAGCTAGGGTTCCACCCAGGACTGTGTCTCTACAGTGGTCTCCCTGATGCTTCCCAGTCCCACTCTTGTGCTGGATACTTGAGCTGAGCTGGTGGGACTGCTCCAACCCTGCTCTTGACCTACCATGTTTAGTGACTGTCTCCTCAGGGCTGTGTTGTTCCTAGAGGTTGCACTGAGGCAGAGGTGATGCCTCTCGTATGCACAGCTTTTTTACAGTTGGCACATTGCATGCTCACTGCAATCCCTCCCATTTGGCAGATGCAAAACTGAGGTCACCCAGAGAGCTGGACTGAATCCACAGGTGGGAGTCCTCACCCTGTGCCTTCTCCATCCTGGGCACTGCCATGTCTAAGCTCTTCACTTTCTTAAAGGAATTGGAAAAAGCAGGGAGTGACTGGTGCTTGACCTTATGGAAGTTTAACTTGGAGCTTCCTGCCTTGCGGCGAGTACCCTGCCCTGCCTTCTGTGCCACAGACCTGGGTAGTTTTCTAGAGTGCATGAGGCCCACATGCGCCACAGCTGTGCTGGCTTCCCCCAACCTCCTTGCCCATCTGGCATCTCTAGCTGGGGTCAGAGGTCAAGGACAGCTGGTGCTGGGGCCAGTGGGCAGTATAACTCGGGTCTGCAAGTCACATTTGTCCTTGGGGGCACCGCAGTGTGTCCTGTTGTTCATAGCGTGGCCTCTGCCCCTGCTGCCCCAGGGGTGCCAGTGTTGGGGTACTTCATGGTTAATTGTCACATGACTCTGATGGTGGCTGTATGGCTCCAGACTGCCCAGTAGGGACACTGAGGCTGCAGGGAGCACAGTTGTGTCCTGACCCTGCCTACCATGGCTATCCTCCTCTCTCCCGGCTGTCGGAAAGACTGGAGGGTGGCACCTCGGGGACTTCCCCCACCCCTGGTGTGACGCACAGGAAACTCTCTATCAGCCAACCCGTGGCTCAGGGCCTGAAGGGAGCAAAGTTCTCTGTTGGACCGTGTGGGGAGAGGGCCGGGGCAGCAGAGGCTTCCGGCGGGTGAGTCAGCGGGCACTGGATGCTGACTCACCTGCTGGGCATGCCAGCTGGCTGCTTGCAACTTAAAGGGGCAATGCCGGCCGACCTGGTAAGTGGGGAAGGGTCCATGTGTCCCGGCCCTGCAGGCAGCACCTGGCCCTGAGTTGAGGTGCTGGAGGTGTCCCCTTCCTGGATCTCAGGCTGGGCTGGGCTGGAACCCTAGGCAGACTCTCCTGATCCTCTGCGCCCCACCCAGGACTTCCTCTGTTAGGCAAGGGGCTCTGCTTCCTCTTGCTCATGGAGCCAGGAGCAGGTGGTGATGGGTGTTTACCGCCCTTGGCCCAGGGGACTCAGGCTCAGACCTGTAGCTGGGAATTTAGGGAGGGCAAGGAGCAGAGGTAGTGCAGGGTCAGCCAGAGTGGGACTTTCCTCTGCTCCCTGAAGACAGTGATGTGGGGACTGCCGAGCTTGGTCCCTTTTGCAGTGTTACTTTGGACAGATTGCATCTGGCCCATTCTCTGCATTCTGTAAATGATGTCCCCTGGACATGGCTCAGGTTTCAGAGGAAGAGCCTTAGATTCCTTACTTGCAGAATGGGAATGGGGACCCTGCCTGTCTGGATGCAAACAGCCCCATCCCACACTTGCTGAGTGTCATGTATGGGTCACAGCCCACAAAGAACACAGCCGAGGAACATCTCTGCTAGGTGAGAAGTTGCGGAAAGCCCAGACTTTTGTGGAGTGGGCCCAGGTTTAAGTCCTAGCTTCAGTGCTTCCTTACTTGGGCAAGCAACGTGCCCTATCTGACCCTCAGTCTCTTCTTCTGTATAGTGGGAGTTAACACCCTCTTTTGCAGGGTAGTGGTCAAGATCAGAGATGTTGTTTGTCAAGTGAGTGGCACCTGCTGTTATTTTTTTATGATGGTTGAGATTGTCGTTGGGTGGTTGGTAGGAGAATAAATAGTACTGGCACTTCTGATGATGGACTTGTAGGCCCTGCGACATGAGGCCTTTCCGGTTGTGGGGCTCTTTCATGCCGGCCAGAATTTAGCAGACTTTAGGACCTCTGGCCTCACTGGGTCCCAGGCTGGAGCTGGGGGCTGTCTGTTGCCTCCTGGGCCTTCTGGGGGAGGGTGAGTGGGGGACAGAGAACTGGGGTACCCGACTCTGCAGTTTGTGCCACCTCCCTGCCCCCTGGCTACGACATGTGGCATTGACAGGACGAATGAGGGAAGCATGGGAAGTGTGGGGCAGGGAGCTGGGTTGCAACCTCCTGGGCCAGCCCCTCAGTTGACAGAACCTTATTAGTGGCAGGTTCAGTGCTGGGCATGGGGATATAGGGAAGAGGGCATGGGGGATCTCCACCTGGGGACCAGAAGGTCATGGTTCTAGGGGTTCAGGCTGAGTCAAGAGTATCAGTGGGTGGCGGGGCCAAGCTGAGGGTGCAGCCATGTGTGAGGTATGGCTGGGCACAGGGCTCAGGAGGGTCCCAGAGGAAGAGAGCCCCACTGGCTGGATGCCCTTAGGCCCACCAGTGCCTCCCCTTGACCATGCCTCCAGGCATTGCCCACTTAAGTCAGGCCTGCTTGCCTAACCGCTTCTGTAGATGCCTCTCCCCAGCAGTGATCCTGGAAACCTCAAAAGCTCCGTGTCAAGGGCATGAAGGCCAGACAGGCCTGGCAGAGACAACAGCAGCTTGCTGGGCCCCTGTGGCTCACAGACACAAGTCTGGGAAGTATCACTCCAGAGAAGGTCTCCAGGCTTTCCTCCCCTGCTCCGAGTCCCAGCACAGGTCACTGTCACTTCCCTGCCCTGAGGGCTTCTCTCTGGGATGTCCTGGCTGAACTGGCCTTGCATGGCCACCCTGGCTTCTCTGGG